AAACCCTGTTGTGCAGTGATTACCTCCAAGATAAACCCGTTCACTTTAGAGAAGACCCAGGATCTCAAAGGGGAGGTAGGCAGCAGGGTATAAAGTGGGGGAGGTCACTAGGACAGAGGATGTCAAAGGGAGGTGAAATGGCAGGATTTTCTAGCGAAGGTGAGACCTCCATCCTGCAGGGAAGCTCCATAAGCTCAGGAAGTAAACAACTCGGTGGCTTAGAAAGTTCCTGAAACTGACCAGAGTCCCCAGGCCTTTCCCTTCTCAAGCATATGTAAGGAGTAAGGACTGTTGAAAGTCACACTCCGACCAGCAGAGTTGCCTAGAACAGGCTCAGACCAACTGTCTTGGCTAGTTTCATTGTCAAATGGACACAAGCTAGAGTCATCTAGAAAGCCAAAAGTCCAAATGAGAAAGGGCCTCTGGGAGATTGGCCTGTAGGCAAGTCTGTAGTTTTCATGACTGGCAGATGATGTGGAAGGGGTATGTATGAGGGTTATATAAGAAAGCAGGCTGAGCAAGCAATGAGGAACAAGCCAGGGAGCAGTGTTTTTCCGTGGCTTCATCTTCAGTTCCTGCTTTCAGGTTCTCACCCCAAGTTCCTCCTGCGACCTTCCTTCCTCATGAATTGTAAGTCGTAAGGTGAAGCAAATTGATTTTGGTGGGTGTTCTGACGGCAACAGAAACCTAAGGCATCAGCCAAGCCACCTGGAAGAAGCAGGGGCCACCAGAGACGCCTAGAAGAGGCTCAGACAGGTTGAGCCTCCAACCTACTGAGCTGCCCGCAGGCTGCGCAGTGCACTTTAGGGTTCTAGCTCTTGGCAATCTGTCACCTGTGCTGGAGTGGCCTTTGGTGATACTGCCGTCTTTGAGTCATTTCTACTTCTATGAGTAGCCTCTCCCCCACCCTTGTCTAAATAGCTCCACTGTAGCTCCTTGGATCACCAAGTAGGACTTCAGTGGTATTTGAACTTTGGTCTGTCATTGGTTCCCTATCTGGGTGAGCAGGTGTTTACTCAAGTCTTCCCAGGAATAGTGTTACACCACAAGCCTACAGTGACAAAATAATAACAGAGAAAGACACGTGGAGGGTAGAGATTACAAGGCACGCTGCTTGCCTTGTGCAATGGCTCTTTCTGGGATGCTTTGCCGGTCGCTCCAAGGCTGCCTGAGGAATCCCGTGGAGATTCCTCAGTCTAAAGAGCCAGGGCTACAGAGGGGGCTGCTCTGCTCTTTCCTGATTGCAACTCTGAATGCCACACTTTACTTGAAAGAACTATACCCAGGGATCCTAAGAAGAAAGTTAGAAATGAGCCCACTCAAAAGAGAGTTGGGACATTGTCTGACCTCTGGGTGCAGCCTTGTCTACCTGCTACTAGCCTCTTCTACCCTGAAATCTACTTCACTTAGCTTTGTTACCAGGCTCACACTCTGACCTCATTCCTCAGCTCCCTAGTCTAGCTCTGTGGAAACAATTCAGATGGGCTAGGCAGTGATGGTGCTTGCCTTTAATCCCCGCAGCTGGGAAGCAAAGGCAGGTAGATCTCTGAGCTCGAGGCCAGCCTGATCTAAAGAGCAAGTTCTAGGGCAACCAGGGCTACACAGAGAAATGATATCTTGGTGAAAAAAAAAACCCAAAACAAAAAGTTTTAGACAATATGCCAAGAGTGTAGTATAAAGGGTAGGTGGAGTTTATTTACAAATTGGGGTACTCACACGGGTAAGAATGGGCAGTGAACAAAGAGACTATTGCAGAGGAAACACTCTCAAAATGGAGAGGGGACAATAACCAGAGAGACTACTATATTGATCCACAGTTTAGGGTAGGCTTTAGCGTGTTTAAGTCCCTAGGAAAGGTGGTTTTCCTGAGGGACAATTTCCTGTTCAGGTGATTGACAGACTCAGGTAGATTAACTCTTAAGGGATGGGACAATAGTATGTCTTTATTCTTTATTGGAAGCCTCCGGCTAGATACTAATTTATGATCTTTGTGGCAGTTTTGTTTCAACACAGATCCCATTTTTAGATTCGTAATCAATGCCCTGTAGTTTCTGTTTTTGCAGAAGATCTGATTCTGAGGAAGGGGTCCATCCTTAGTGTTGTTCAAGCCTGCTAATGCCTGACCTTACAGACTGAGTTATGACATGCAAGCAGGGATTTTCTTTGTTTTGGAATAGGGTGCCCGGCTGGCCTGATATTTGCGATGTAGAATAAGGTGATCTTGAACTTGGAATGATCTTTGTCTCTCTGCCGCTTGAGATCTGGGATTCCAGGCACACACCATTAGGCCTGGTTCTACCAGAAATTTTAGCTGGGACAACTAAACAGCACTGGTTATTTCCACAGTGGTTCTTCCAAGCCTTCTGCAGGCTGGAAGGCTAGTGTGGAAAGTTAGCAGGACTCTCAGGAGAATGTTGGTGCAGAGATGGGGGGGGGGTGTAGAGGGTCCATGAGACACCACAAAAGTCATGAGGGTAGGCCAATCTAGAGGCCGTCTGGGTGAGCTGGCTGAAGGATGAGTTTCCTGTCTCTAAGTTCTCAGATGTGCAGTTTCTGGGAACAAGGGACTGACTGTCTGTTGTGTTGAGGAAGGCCAGAGGCGGATGGCAGTAGACAACGCGAGTTTTGGGAGATTGGAAAAAAAAAAATGTCTGTAACCGCCTGTCTCAACTTTCTCTTCTGTCACTCTTGATTGGAGTGCTCCATCCAGAGCCATGGATCAAGGAACATTTTGGACAGCTCCAAGTAGCTGGGACAGCAGTAATTGCTCGAATGTGGCTTCTAAAGACTTTCCTGGTTACCAGGGGTGGCCTTACAGCGGTCTTCTGGCAAAATGTGCCTAAGAGAAACTGCAAAGGATGTCCCCAAGGCAGTGACAAATACCCAGCCTGTGGCTTTGGGACTCGATGTTCAAGTTGTATGGAAGCTAAGATTGAGGGAAGAAATTAGCCTGGAGTTAGGCTGCCCATAAATACTGTCCCTGTAATTAGATAATGAGAAGAGAATTGTAAAAGCCTCCAATTCAATTTCCTTCATTTAGGATATTCTTATTTAATTAGCTGTGACCCCGAGGGATCAGCCTGAGAAACTGTTGAAAGTAAGGGGGACAAAAGAAAAAAAAGAGAGAAAAAAAAATGGGAAAATTATTATAATTATAATTTCTTGTCACATAAGCTTTGGGGTTCAAGACACCTTTCCATGGGGTAGCCAAAGACCTCAGGGGTGGGCTACCCAAATAGAGGACCAAGTGCGGGCATGCCATGGCTGTGGCAGCCACTGTAGACTGAAGATGCTTCAAGAGGAGGCAGAGCCTGAAGTGCACATGAAGAGAGGCAGACATGTTCAGCTTCATCCCGACTGGTACCGGATTTCCTGGATTCACAGCGGGGGATGCACGTACCATCAGAAATACACACAGACCTGCAGGGAAGGTGGAATGTGGCCAGGGTGTGATGCTCCTCCCGCGGCAGCTGGGAAGGGGAACTGGGGATACGTGAGCGGCAGCATCCGCGTGACAGAGCTGGGAGAGCCATACAGAAAGGCACTGTTTATTATGATGACCTCTCTGGATGACATGAGAGGAGAGATCTGCATTAATTGATTATCTCGGAAAGACCCACGGTGCTTTATTTGTTTAATATAGCAGATGCTTTTAATTGATTTTGGTCATCTTATCTCATTTCCTGGGTGATCCAACGGCTGAATGAGAGCAAGGAGAACAGGATGCCATTTCTGAGTAAAGCATTATTCATGTTGTCAGGGAGATGGGGCTTCTAGAAGGCAGAGCTTAAAGCTTCGAGCCACGGTTCTGTTTTACTTTGTTTTGTTTTTGTCTTTCTTGGCTACTTTAAATGTATGTATGCATTTATATATGTATCTATGCGTGCATGCATGCATTTGGTGTGTTTATTTGTGTTTGTGGATGTGCACGCATGAACATGCCTCAACACGAATACGGGGGGGGGGGGTGGGGAGGTGTGGCCGAGGATAACTCATATGAGTTGATTCTCTCCCTCCACTATGTGGGTTCTGAGGATTAACCTTCAGCTGCCAGGCTTGGTGGCAAGCATCTTTACCCACTGAGCCATGGTTGGATTGTTTTTGGAGGTAAGGTCTTACTATGTGGGTCTGGAAGACTTGGAACTCACTATGTAGCCCAGGCTGGTCTTGAACTGTGTGGCAGTCTAGCCTGAGGTTCCCAAGTGCCAAGAGTACAGTATGTGTAACCACACCCAGCTTGAGACCATAATCTTGATCAAGTAGAGAGGAAAGCCAGTGTATCTGTCCCTCCGACAGGGACTTCCCTTCCTTGTTTAGTCTGGGAAAGCTTTGTGACCAGTTTTGCCAGTATGCTAATAACATGAGAGACTAATTTAAATAGGACAGCCAGTTCTTTCTTTGGAACCCAATAACAAATTCCATTATATCAGCTATTCCATTATATCATTCGAACAGGAGGCTCCTGAATAATTAACGTGATCTGGCTTTTTACTACTATGTGGCTGGCATCAAAGTGAAGACAGTTCATTTTCTCTTTCTTAAACTGGAGGAATGACATATCTGTGCAACTGTGTCAACTACAGCAAAGCCCTACAAGTGGGAGAGACAGACAGAAATGCTTTCTTCTCAGAGACAACTTTCTTCACCCACTCCCCTTTGGCCAGGCTCTCTGCAGCGACATGCATGTGTTTGCTCCCTCACGACTTGATGCTTTGCCCGCTCTTAAAGCGCTGCCCATCCGCAATGGCCACCACACCTGTGGTCAGCCTCACCCAGTCCTCTGTTGGGGCCGCCAGCCTCAGTTCCTAGAGCGTGTGCTTACAAAATGTCTATGGTTATTTTTAATGGGGAATTTTGCAGCCACTAGTCTCCTGTGTTTCAAGAGATTACCCCGTGTGTGTGTGTGTTATTCAAAGTACTTGCTCATATTTTTATCTCCGAATCATTAAGAAGCTACACCCAAAAAAGGAACAGGGCTGAGTGTTTGCTTTTCAACAGGTGTTTTCTAGCGCTGCAGACATGTATCTTGTATATCTTATCACATCAGCTTATACTCCACTTACCCCGTCGCTTGTCAACTTGACTTCTATATCCGTGCTTCTGGGGTAAACTTCAGGTACGGGGATTTGGGTGTTTATTTTTTTCTTATCTGCATTTAAAAAGATTTATATTTGCATTAAACTTTTTATGTAATAGAAGTAAAATTATGAATCTGTGTGGACAATTGCCTAACCATGTTGACAGAGAGAGGGGAAGAGGGAGAGAGGGGAGAGGGAGGGAGCGAGAAGGAGAGAGAGTGTATCAGTGTCTAAGTGGATTGAAACTGTGAATATGCAAATAACTAAGAAACTTTTAGGGCAAAAGAAAACAAGAGCCCTTTGTTTGTTTAGTGTCCACTTTTTAGTTTTTGGTAGCTGCTGCTCATTGCAAAAATGTCACTTCACTGAGCCAAGCCTGGAGACGTCGGAACAGGAAGAGATTTCTTAAGTAAGTCATAAAAGGAATGCAGTATAAAGAAAAGAATTTATACGTTTTATTATATTAAAATTAGCAAACGTATACAGAACAAAACAATTTTAATATATAACAATGGTTTCATGCCCTAGTTAATTGCAGATAGTGGGGAAGGGTGTCAAAAGGCAGCATAGGAATGAGGGAAGGCAAATGGTCACCAATAGTCAAAGAAATACCCAACCTCAAAAATGACTGCGAGATATAAATTCAAACAGCAACCTGACACCATTGTATAGTACCACCAGACACCATCACACAACCACTGGACACCATTGCATAGCTACCAGACACAACTGCACAGCCACCAGACACCATCACACAACCACCAGACACCACTGGAGAGCCACCAGACACCATTGTATAGTACCACCAGACACCATCACACAACCACTGGACACCATTGCACAGCTACCAGAACCCCTGGGGAGTTGTGTGGTGATGTGGGGCCTGAGACCTGAATTTGGGTGTTCTAGTATCTCTCAACCAATGAGCCATCTCTCCAGCTCCTGATTTTTGTAGTTTTAATTAATTAGTGTCTACTTTCATGTTGTTGAGGATGGAATCCAGGCAAACACTTTTTGACAGAGTTATGCCACCAGCTCTAGTTTGTACATTTAAATATGCTAAAAAGAAAGTTAAAGACAAATAAGTAATGTTTTGTATCTTGCAAAAATTGTTTATGAAGGGCCCGGGGAGACGGCTCAGTGGGAAAGAGCACGGTGTGCTCTTCCAGAGGACTGGGGTTCAGTTCCAGCAACTATGTAACAGCTTACAACCCTCTGTAACTCCCAGTTTCAGGGAATTTGATACCCTGTTCTGGATTTGTGGGAACTATGCACACATAGTGCTCATAATACTGTAGTGATGGTTAGAAAGAAATTGGTCCCCATAGGGAGTGACACTATTAAGAGATGTGGCCTTGCTGGAGGAGGTGTAGTTTTGTTGGAGGAAGGGTGTCACTGTGGGGGGCAGGCTTCGAGGTCTCCTATGCTCAAGCTATATTCTGTGTGAACACAGCCTTCTTCTGCTGCCTTCAGATCAAGATGTAGAACTCTCAGCTCTTTCTCCAGCACCATGTCTGCCTATATGCCGCCATGCCCCGCCATGATGATGGTAAACTAAACCTCTGAAACCATAAGCCAGCCCCAATTAAACGTTTTCCTCTACAAGAATTGTTGTGGTCATGATGTCTCTTCACAGTAATAGAAGCTCTAACTAAGACCCATACAGACAGGAAAAGCACCCATACACATAACGTTAGAAATGAAAGAAACTATATGAAATATGAATGCTTCCACCCACAGTAACAGTCAAATGTTATTGGGATATGACTCTACTCAGTGAGAATACTGCACTCTGACATCCATCTCGTTTGGGTGCATGCTGGAGTTTGGGGATCAGTAAGATAAGCATAGATTTACTGTGTTACCTACAGTCAGTGGCTTCTGATGGCGTGCATCTTCATTTGGTAATTCTCCATGCTGGCTACACACTAAGGTCACCAGCAGCATTTGAATCAGAGCCCTAGTCTTACCCTAGAGGTTCTACTAAATTTTGCTTGTGGGATGTTATATAACTGTACCATAAAAAACAAAAACAAAAACACTCCTTGGAAGTGTTATTATTACTGTAGACTTTAATGGAAAGGAGCACAATGCATTGTATAGAATCCAAAGGCAACTAAGCGTGATGCCAACTACAGTTTAGGGAGATTTGACGTTCAGCTTTTAGACACGGTCCACACGGTATCCTGGTAGTTGAAGAAAACCCACATGGATTAGATTCAGAGGATTTCTCTGGGTTCAGCAATGCCTAGTTCTCTTGTCTGCAGCATGCTTCATCCTTTCTCGGCCTTGGTTTCTCCAGACGTACAATAGCAGCAAACCTGCTTCCCAGGGCCATTCTGTGATGGTGGAATGGGACCGGGCCTTATTTCAGGACACATTGTAGATGTCTCTACAAGGGAAGATTTTTACTCTAAACATTGCTAGCACTAACTGAACTGGGAAGAAAAACAATGGAGCCAAGGCTTATTTCAACCTTTTGTATATAAAATAGAAACAGCGAAAGCGTATGAGCCAGGTAGTCAATTATTTTCTCCCCCCCCCCCCCCCAGAATAATAATTTAAAACATAGTGAACAGAACTTACAGGAGCATTTAATTTTATGATTTTAGAACATTTCTAAGTGTTTATTTATTATTGTTCTTGTTTGTGTCCTTGTTGTGGTGTGTGTGTGTGTGTGTGTGTGTGTGTTGGGTGTCTGTGTGCAGGTGTTCATATGCCATAGTGTACATGTGGCGATCACAGGATAGTTTTGGAGAGCCAGTTCTCACCTTCCTCTGCCGGAGCATCTCGGCATTGGACACAGGCCTCCAGATTTAAGCAGCAAATATTTTACTTGCTGAGCCATTTCTCTGGCCCCGATTTCATTTCAGACTTCACCCAGCTAAATTTTCAGAACAGCACCAAGAAAATGATCAGTTTCCCTATAACCAGTAGTCATAAACGATAACATGAAATATGAGTCAAATCATGACAGTACTAACATGGCCTTTATTTCCGTTTGGGGTTTGGTAAATTGTGAGCTCTATATTGCATTAGAGTTAATTTCTATATGTACCATAATGCTTTCCTGTGTTTGCTGAGAAGATACGTAGCCGTGCAGACTTTTTCCACGATGAGAAAAAATGCTTTCCAGCTGCACTGCGTTTCTGGAAATGGAATCAACCGTAACCACTGGCACCAAATATTTAGCAGTCTGGACCCAGGCAGACGGCAGCAGGGAGGTGTCTGAACTGCTCCCAGACTGCCTTTGCCACAGGGCAGATATTAGAATGTGATATTTTTGTGCTCAGAGTAACTGAGCTTGTGGGGAACGCCAACATGGACAGTGTCAAGCCCCCAATCAGCATTGCCGTGGTCTCTCGTTCCCTGGGATTTGTGGGGAGGGGGTCTTTATCCAGGGGCAGCCAATGCTTGCTTATCTGCTTTATGAACAGCCCCCTTCACAGTTTGTTCACATGAAACCTCAGGCCAACCTCTTTTCCTCCTAGCTCCGTAGCCACCAATTCCACTCAGTTGGGGTGTGCTGAAGAAATCAGCATTGGTGCCATCACGCTAGCTAGTGTTTATAGAACGCCTACCACGTTGCTAACTTTTTATTAGGCCAAGTCTTCAGACACAACTGATGATATAAGTGGCGCCATCTTATTTTCCAGATTAGAGAGCCAAGATAGTTGTCTTGCACACGCATTTCAGCCCGGCGTAAGATGACATCTAGGCGGACCGCGGCTTTGATAATTTAAGTCTCAGAAACTCCCCTAGGCTGAGACAAAGCTCAAATGTTTTTTTCCAGGTTGGTGTGGAAAATGCTAAACCAGTCTGTAGTAATATGGGGCGGCAGGGCTGCGTCCCCCACACCCGGCCGCCCACATGGCTAGCTTATGCTCCGAAATAACAACACACAAACTGTATTCTTTTAAGCACTGCTTGGCCCTTCTGCCCTAGCCCTTACTGGCTAATTCTGATATCCCGATCAACCCATCTCTAATAATCGGTGAGCACCGGTCTTACCGGGAAGATTCTAGCCTAGTCCATCCTGGGTCGAGCTTCATCCCGGGAGCGGGGCATGGCGTCTCTCTCAGGCGTCTGCTGCTGAGAGGAGAGCTTTCGAGTCTCTGACCTCACTTCCTCTTCCTCCCAGCGTTCTGTCCTGTTTTCTCCTCCCACCTATCCTCTAACCAATAAAATGGGCCAGGGCAGTGCCTTTATTAGCCAATGACCTTCCTCCATCATTTCCCCTTTTTCGGTTTAAACAAAAAAAAAAAGGCTTTAACTTTAACATAGCAAAATTACATATAACAAAACAGTTATCAAGTAAAAGTTACAATAATCTTTATCATAACTAAGGAAAACTATAACTATAACTAACTATTCTTAACTCCATCAAAGACTCCAGAAAGATATAATATTACCTAAGTAAACAAGAACTAAGAAACTTCAAACTCTAGAAATGACAAAGACATCTCGCTGCCTGGACAGTCACCCAAAGTTCTTTTGTACCGTTGGGGCATCCATCTTCAGCCTTCAGGCCCATGGTATCCATCAGACATTTCCATAAAGCAGGAAAATTCAAAGTCAGTTCAGTCACTATCTGTTGTGTCCTGCAGAATGTCTCGCGGACTCTTTCATGAATCAGGAACCCCGAAAGATCATCTCACCTTAGACAAGTTCAGTAGTCCTCTTTCTGTGGGTTCTCTGTGTCCAGTTTATGCAATAGTCCAGGCAAGAGCAGTTTCTTGCCCAAATGGCTATCAAACTCCATAAGGTGCCTCTTCGATGCCCATCTTCCTCTTGAAGTACATTGGTGCTGCCAGGAGCAGAGTGTCTGGTCTCATTGTCATGAAAAGTCCTCAGTTATTAAAACATTAAATGTCCTATTCTGTAATCTTTGGAAGACATGAAGAATGTCTATCTAAAATATATCTCTATATATCTAGAAAATCTAACTAACATAACTACAAGCTTTACTATTATCGATGATTATCCATTAACAACCTATATTTCTTAATTATACAGTACATATTTAAATGAACTACACAATCACAATACCTTAATCAAAATCAGAAACACTTATACATATAACAAAATTGACCTTAAATCTCTGTCAATAAGGCAAAATCTATACTAATGCAAATTATTCATACCTATATCATATCCCCCTTAAAATGTAAAAGAACGTTTATAAACCATATTTGGGAACATGGGCGCAGTTATTTCTCTCCAAACTGCTTCCTGCTGAATGGGGACGTCGTTAATTAGGTCTTTCATGGTATAACCTGTGTGCTAGTTTCATCTCAGTTGGCAGTTGAGCGAAGCAATTTTTTGAAGGCGTTCACACCAACCCTTCAGGAGGGCGTGGTCCATCATACCAAATCGGAATAGAAGAAATGAACAGCGTCTCATCCTCTGTGAAAACAAAATAAGAAACTCCTTTCCAAAGTATCATATCCTTAGATCCAAATTCATAATATCTATGTTGGATTAGTTCAGCAGTATTTATAAATAAATATCTTTTAGCATCTGTTGCTCCTTCCTCAGCATTTAAATAATTTAAAGAGAGCATAATAGCATATAGTATCAAAATTCTCTGTGTATTTTCCATCTTTGTACAGCTTTGTTTTAACCTCTATTTCGTTTATTTTTACTTTTAACTTTTTGCTTTTTGAGACAGGTTCTCTGTATCTTTGACCTGAAGTAACTCTGTAGACCAGGCTGTCTTTGAACTCTCAGAGATCCACCTGTCTCTGCCTCCCAGGCATTGGGATTAAAGGTGTAAGCTACTACACCTTGAATTCACAGAGATCTGTTTGCCTCTGCCTTCTAGGCACTGGGATTAAAGGCGTGTGCTACCACACACAACAACTCTCTTTATTTTTTTGTTTTTTACTTTAAGAACTTCAACTTTTAGTCTGCATATATTTTTAACACACTTTAAACCATTTAGAAATTTTCTCTGTCTTTAATCTCTCTTTACTGTATATCTCTCTGTTTTTCTGACCACATGAGTCTTTAATTTACCAAGCAATCTCAGTAGGATTAAAGGTGTGGCTTTGCTGGCTAGATGTAGCCCATTCCTTAGCTTTCCAGCCTCATGGCTGAGGTACTGGCTGTAGCCATGTTTATAGCCACAACTGTATGGCGTTTCAAGGTCCCTGCCAGCCAGCGAGCTACAACAGACAACACTCAAGTCCTCTCTTGGTAGCCGGCCCTCCTGCCTCAAACAGTCAGAGTTTGCCCTGGTAGGATGGCCCAGAAAGCCGTCATTTTTAAACGGTGCAGCTTTTTTCCTGCTATGGCTGAAAACCGAAAAGCATGTGTTCAGCTTTTCGTCAACACCGTTTAAGTGTTTCGTGGCAGGACCTCTTAATGAGCTGCACCAGTCTCCTTTCATATAAGAAAAGCCAGCTGTCATGTAATATTTGAAAGGAAAAAAAATAATTCTAATTCATGCTGCCTAAAATATAATTTATCATTTTTATTAGAGTTTTAAAAATGAAACAGTTTGGGACAAGTGTGGCTAAAGTATCTTCACTACTGGGTATTTTTCTTGTAGGGTGTATTTTAAAGGTAGCTATATATATATGTATATATTAACACATATATGCTGTATATATATATATATTTGAAATACATATTTTTCAAAATTTTTGTGAAGTGAAAGAAATTTCAGTGTATGTTGCAGATGACCCCTTTGTTAATATCCTTGTTTAAAACCTATGACATCATTCCTTATCCTACTGTACAGTGCCATTTCCATGGCAACGAGACAGCAGTGGGTGGGGGCAGCCGTTGGCGTTTGAGATGATGGAAATGCATGGAAAGTTCCATTTTCTTGAACATTATGCAGATTTCTTCAGCATAGAATAAACAGCAAAGAATAAACGCCTTCTGGAGGAGGTGTCTTACTTGGCTTTTGGAATGTGTCCATTTTTCTGACAGTTTTTCTATCTTGCGCTATCTTTCTTGCCCCCATCCCTGCCCTCCGCCACAGACCAAAATAAAGTCGTTAAAAACCAGCCTGACGTTGCATGTGACTCAGTGGCAGATGTCGGGGTTTGTGCTGGCAGAGAGAGGTCCTGAGCAGAACGCTTGCACAGACTTAATTGCAAAATGAATTTGTCTTGAGTAAGCTTCAGTTGTCAGAATGTGACCGAAGAGTGAGATGTTTCTTTGAAATGGAGAGTTTTGTGCACACATATACACATGTACATATACATATACATACACATATACACATGTACACATACACATACACATAAATATACATACACATATACATATACACTTGTACATATACATATACACATATACATATACATACATACAAACACAGACGAAACACACTGTTGCTGTTTTCTCTCAGGTCTTAATAAAACATTGCTAGTAAATTTAGATACTTAATGTATTTAATAGGTGGTCTTCTGGGACATTAGGAAAAAGTTTTAGATACATATTTCGACCATGAACGTATTTTCAAAATCAAGTTCTTTAAATTTTTTTTTTATGGTTTTATTTTATGTGTACTGGTATTTTGTTTTCATACCTATCTGTGCATCATTTGTGTGCCTGGTGCCTGCAGTGGCCAGAAGCAAGTCACAGTCTCTGGACCTGGAGATACAGGTAGCTGTGAGCCACAGTGTGGATGCTGGGAATCCAAAATGCGACCCCTGGAAGGGCAGGCAGTGCCCTTAGCTAGTGAATAATCTCTATAGCCCTGAGATATTCTTTTATTGAAAAACAGTTTTTGTTAATTCCTTGAGAATTTTGTACAATGCATTTTGATCACATTCTCCTCCTTTTCTTCCCCTAACTTCCCCCGGACCCATGTCCTCCATCTCAGTAGCTCCGTGTCCTCTTTCTGTTTTTAAAGAGATGATCCTTTTAGAAGGTCATTAGAATTGAATGCATGGCATGTGTGCTTTTATATCTCTGTGGAGAGCGGAGAGCTGCTTTAAGTATCCCTTCTTTGAACAGTGTACACACTGTGAGCATTGTTTATCTCATGGGGATAAATACAGATGCAGAAATCGTTTCCCTGCAAAGCGGAGGAAGTGTCTGCGTCTTCTCACTCGGGGGCCAAATACAGTTGTTCTTCCCAGCCAATCACCACTGTTGCTGTGGGCATCGTTCCTAAGATTTCCCCTCTAGGTTCACCTTTGTCACGGTCAATGCCAGTAGACTAGAGAACAGTGAGGGAACCGCACAGCCCCTCTAGTGCGTGCACACTGAGTAGCTACCTCCCGTGGGAGCAGAGTTTAAGGCTGAACGCACAAGCTCTGCAACTTACCACACACCCCTCCCCTAAGCTATGACAGTCTTCCACAGCCAGTCTTCAGGCTCTGTCTCTGGTACCGCACCTTGATGCGGGACTTCCATTCGTAAGGCCCAGAACCTACTTCAATGGCACTCAGTTCTGTTTCTGTTCTATTTCATGAAAGTCCATGACCCACAGATCTCAAGGAGCTCTCCAGACTCCGCTATTAGAGTCACATGGGCAAAGTACAGAGTCCCCAGCCCAGACCCACAGATTCATTTCTGGGTGCAAGACAGGATAACCTGGATTTTCAATAGATTCACTCCAATTATTCCTGCTATTCCTAATGATCATTACCCTTCAAATTTAACTTCTTTATTGACTTAAGACAGCATCTATGTAGCCCAGGCTGGCCTAAAATTCCCTATGAAAATTAGGCTGGCCTCAAACTCACAGAAACCCATCTGCTCCTGCCTTACAAGTGCTGGGCTTAAAGGTGTGCACCACCATACCCAGCCCATGGGCAGTACCTTTAGGGAAGCCTGCCATGGAGGCCATTGAGAGGCTCAGTGCATGAGCTTGCTTGCTGGCCAGGCTGATGACCGAGCACTATCTTTGGGACCCACATGGCGGAGAGAGAACACTGACTCCTGCAAGTTATCTTCTCACTTCCACACACCGGACAAACACACACACACACACACACACACACACACACACACACACACACATAAAACAATACACAAACAAATGTAAAAACGCATACATTTTTTTAAAGAAGCCTTGCCCATAAGGAATGTGGAGGGTGGTGCTGTCCCTGGTGCTAGGGAAGCCTTCATGTCCCCTCTGCACACAGGGAGTAACACCTGCTGTTCCTTCTACTGTTTTCTTCATGGCCTCTCTCTTTTTCTAACCCCTGTATTGAGCCTATCATTGTCCTCCTCGTCAACCCTTAATAGACAATGTAAATTGTTACTTGTAGTTTTTTTCCCCCTTAAAGTCTTGAAGAAATAGCCTCATCTGTACAGCATTGGTAGGAATGGGTGTATGTATGTGAGGGGCAAGTACACTTCGATTTGTGTGCTTTGTCCTCAACAGCTGTGCTGCATGGGATACCCTTGGCTATATGACCTCGGGTCTTCCTAGGGTAGGGATGGAGGCAAAAGTACAGCAGCCGAGGCCTTGTATATAAACACTTTCATGTAGCGAACATGGTTATCTCCCTAGTAGTTTCATTCAAGTCCATACAAATCTCAGCTTTCAGTTCTTAAGAATCAGCCAAACTGTGCTTAAAATGGCTGTCGTGGTTTAAATGAGACTGGCTCCCACGGGTTCATATGTTTCAGTACTTGGTCCCCTTTGATAGAGCTATTTGGGAAGGATTAGGTGGTAGCCTTGTTGGAGGAGGTGTGTCACTGGGGGCAGACCTTAAGTTTCAAAAGACCTGCATCATTTTCAGTGTGTTCTCTGCTTCCTGTTTTCACTTTGAGATGTGAGCTCTCAAATGTTCCTGCCACTGAGCTTCGCCCCACCTTCATGGACTGGAACCCTCTGAAACCGTAAGCCCAGGTAAAGGCTTTCTCTTATGGGTAGCTTTGATCATGGTGCTTTATCCCAGCAATGTACAAGTAACACAATGATGATGGATACTTGGAGAAACCTCCTTAGAAGGCTTTAAAAAACAATCTACCAACAATCCTCCAGGGTATAATTTTGAGCTGACCCAAAGTAGTCTGGTTCCAGCTTAGTGAGCCGACATGCTGGAGGTAACAGTGGAAATCAAAAGGAAAAACCTTCTATTTGCCACTAGCAGGGAGTTCCAAATGAGGCCTGTCTCAGGATCACAGACTAGGAATAGCGTGAACAGTTTTACTGGTTGAGGATGAAGAGAAGTCATGAGAGTTTGGGATCCAGATGAAAGGTGGCAGTCACCTTGACCTTCCTCTAGGACAGGTGGCCCTGGTGTAGAGGGGCACTGAGGATCCCCCCCCCCCCCATCCTTGCTGAGCTGTGAAAGTTGACAAATAAGGACCTTCACTCTTTTGAGTTCCTCGCCTTTTAGTTCTGGTGTGGAAATCTTCCTGGAGAACCTGGTGGGCTTCACAGGTGCTCAGCAACATTGCTTCTTCCTAGAACTGCTTCTTGGTTGTACTGGGCCACACTTGGCAGAGTTTATATCAGTGGGGAAAAGGGAAGGAAAAGGGAAATGTCTCTGATAAAGAAGAAGCAGACAAGCCTGTGAAAGTGACCTGGTTAGAATGGGGGAAGGGTCCTAAGAGAGTGCTGGGCTTTGGTAGATTGACAAAGGCATATGGGAAATTCCAGACAGGAACATAAGGACAATAAAATAATACTACTAATCCAATCATTGGCAAATGATTGAATGTATTCGTTCCTTTCAGGATGTGGAGGTGGCTGTTAGCTCCAAATTGCAGATGAGACTCAGCAGTACCGTGTGGGACTATGTTACCGGCTGACTATGTCCGCTGTGTCTCTGTCTTTTACACTTGTGAATAATGTGCAGCCTGAATTAACTGGCTGCTCCATGACTTTTGCCCAGGGAAAGCAATCAGAGAAGAAGGCAGAGAGTCAGCAGACAGGCCTTTCTGCCCAGGCTGGCTTCTGATAAACGGAGGTCTCTGAGCAAAGCTGTTTTGTCAGGTGAAACTGCATAATGGGTCCTGAATATGGACCTCCCAACTCACTTCTAACCGATGAACCTGAAACCAGATCAGCAGAGGTGAAAGATGCAGGCATTAGCCCAGGGTTAATGGTTTTTCAGATGGCTGGTGCAGCTCCATCTCTGCCTCTGCACGGAGATGCTGGCAATCACTGCTTTCTGTCTGTGGTTCATGAGATCCTATGCAGGTAAATGGTACACGCAGATCACCTTCACCCAGGGCTTTTTTCTAAAGCTACCCACTGCAAAATCATTCCCTGGAGAGCCTCAGATGGGATGTTCTGGGAAACCTGAAGTTGAAATTGTTCCACAGGATCTCTTTGTGGGGGTGGAGAGCACCCACGGCGACAGTTGTGAAATGAAGGGGGAGGGGGAGGTGTTTGTGCGTGGTTCTGTACGTACAAAGCTTTCACCATCGCCGGCCCAAGCATTCTCTCACAGATGTAATTTTAGAAGCAGTGTTGTGAGTGACACCCAGAAAGGTAGGAGGACTATCCCTGATGGAACTGTCATTTTCTCCTGGAGAAAATGGTTATTATCTGCTCTGTTTTATGTAAATGTAGCTCTCCCTTGTGAATCACTCACCCGGCTGAAGAGGGGAGGTGTGTTGGAATCTGCAGAAGCACTGATATCCTAGGATGTTTCTTTGACATTTGCTTTAAGGAGATTGAGCCAACAGAGGATGGTAGCTCTGCCTCCTTCCATGTGAGCTGCATGTGTGCTGCATGGGGGATCATAAAGGAGCATGCTGGGGTCCTCTGCACAGGGGAACTCCTTCAGTAGCTTTCGGGAGGACCTCATGTACTTGCAGAAGATGTCCTTATGAAACACAGTACGAATGTACAATGCGTATGCAATTTGAAAAATTTTAAAAGAAAATTCCTGAAATAAACAAGTGCCAGTTTTAAAATGAAAAGAATAATAAAAAAGAAAAAAGACAGCAAGAGTTCAGAGGGTAAAGGCATTGGCTGCCAATCCTTTCTTTTCTTTTTTTCTTTTTATTTTATGTGTATGGTGTTCTGGCTGAATGTCTATCTGTGTACCACATGCATGCCTGGTGCCAAAAGAGGTCAAAAAAGGGTATTGGATTCCCTGGTATTAGAGTTATAGATGGTTGTGAACTGCCATGTAGGTGCTGGGAATTGAACCCCAGACCTCTGGAAAAGTGGCCAGTGTTCTTAAACACTGAGCCATTTCTCCAGCTCCAATTGTCAAGTCTTTCTGTCTGAGTTTGTTCCCAGGCCCACATGATGGAAGGAGAAAACAGGCTCATGTAATTTGTCCTTTGACCTCTTCATGTGTGTTATGGCATGAGTGGCACACACAAAATAAATAAACAAATGTGTTTTTAAAAAAAATCCCAAGTCTCAGTAAAATTGCAATAAGTATATATACCAACAAGATATTTTTTATTTATTTGAATGTATGTATGTATGTATATGTACACACATGGGGGATGAAGTACGAGTGCACATATATTTGGAGGCCAGCAATTGACACTGGGTATGTCCCTCAATTGCTCTCTACCTTCCTCTTCTGAGATGAGATTCCTCGCTGAACCTGGGACTCTCTGGTCACCTAGACTGGCTGTCCAGCAGCCCCAGAGAGTCTCCTGTTTTTCCCTACTGAGTTTTAAGAGAGTGCTGGAAATTCGAACTCAGTTCTTCACGCATGCTTGACAGCCAGCTGAAGTCATCTCCCAACTCTTTATGCCAATAAAAAAAATTAATAAGTTTCTTGAGTGATCTGAAGAGTAAATTATTTGAATATCCTCTTCATATCAAAATATAGAACATGACTGTGAGAAACAAAGCCCTGAGGGGAGGAGGTGCACACTAAGAAGCCAGCTGGGGAGGCAGGACCATGAACAGGGCATCTGGACATAGTATCAGGCACGCTGGTGAACTGAGGTCCCAGAGACAAAAGGGTTTTTGCATCTCCATTACTCTGGCGGCAAGACCCAGGATTAAAGGGGTGGTGGGGGAATGTCCAAACTCAAACACTGCTTTTAGGTTTTCGAGAGAGAAAAGCTGACAAAATCGCCTGTCACTCCCCTCTCAATATTTGCTGCGCTCCTTGGCAGAGTGACAGTCCTATTCTAAAATAAGGACAAAATCAAAGTTGTCAGCAATGTGTGCCTCTTGGTTCCATGCTTTTCTCCTGCACAGTTTGCAGTTAGGCCCCCGCATGAGTTTGGGGCTATAAAAAGAGATGGTGTTAAAATATTACAAATAACTTTTTAATTTTGTTCTCATTATAATCTAGACATGGAGGAGTTTGAATAGTCATGAAAGTTTTCCTAGTTTCTCTCGTTTCATTGCTTTTACTTGCAAATGCCAGGCAAGGGCTCTACCCCAGAGCCACCTGCCAGCCCTTGCAAACAGAGTTGAACACCATTGATTCTTTCAAAATAACAAATAGTCCATGAGTGGTTATTTTGTGACATGCTGTCTTCTGATATGTTCTGATATCCTCCAACTATGAGACAGGACCTGCAGTCTCCAAGAATTCAACTCTGCAAGGGAAGTGTGAGTAGAGAAAGTTTATTAGGGGGAAAGCCTTTGGGATCAGCACTCAGGGGTGCTGAAGGTCAAGGCAGAGACAGGAAGGGTGGACTGAAGAGGTTAAGTGCTGCACCAGATGGGATGGGATTGGATTGTAGTGAAGGTCTCCCTGCTGCTCACCTGTTGTCTGAGGTTTCTGTCCCACCCGGTTCTCTCAGTCATTAAGGCCCAAAGAAATCACACAGAGGTCTACATTATACATTAATCATAAACTGATTGGCCCATTAGCTCAGGCTTCTTATTAACTCTTACAACTTACATTAGCCCATTATTCTTATCTGTTTTAGCTACATGGATCAGTACCTTTTTGAGCGGCATAGTCACATCTTCTGTATCTGGACAGGACTGCAGAGGGAGCTTCCCTCTTCCCAGAATTCTCCTGTTCTCATTGACCACCTCTACTTCCTGTCTGGTTGTCCCGCCTATACTTCCTGTCTGGCTACTGGCCAATCAGCATTTATTTAAAACATAATTAACAGAATATAGACAATTGTCCTGTACCACTCACCTTTCTGTTGGTCCCAGAACTTGATCTTCCGAGCTTGCCTGTCTTGTGGCAAAGTGTCCAGGCATTTTAACCCTCGGTGTATCTCATCAGTCATCGGGTGCCAGATGGCCCTGGGAGAGGTGTGATTCTGGGCAAGGTTATTACATCAGTTCAGAGCTCTGCTGTCAATATTCCTGGCAGCTGGGACTGATGCATCAGCACTAAAGTGGGCTGTCTGAGAACCCACCAGATTACCTCATGTTTACATTAGAAAATGGACTCTTTTTTTAAAGTTAATTTTTAAAATTGTTTTTATTGAGCTATATGTTTTCTCTGTTCCCCCTCCCTTCCTCTCCTTTCTCTTCTGTCTTCTCCCATGATCCTCACGCTCCCAATTTACTCAGGAAATCATGTCTTTTTTTTAATTTCTTATGTAGATTAGATCCATGTATGTCTCTTTTAGGGTCCTCTTTGTTGTCTAGGTTCTCTGGGGTTGTTTTTCTTTGCCTTATGTCTAAAACCACTTATAACTGGGTTACCTCACTAAATATGTTTTCTAGATCCATCCATTTGCCTTCAAATTTCAAGATGTCATTTTTTTCTGCTGTGTAGTACTCCCTTGTATAAATGTACCACATTTTCCTTATCCATTCTTCAGTTGAGCACATTTAAGTTGTTTCCAGGTTCTGTCTATTACAAATAATGCTGCTATGAACGTAGTTAAGCACATGTCCTTGTGGTATGATTGAGCATCTTTTAGGTATACACCCAAAAGTGATATTACTGGGTCTTGAGGTAGGTTGTTTCTCAATTTTCTGAGAAATCAACATACTGATTTCCAAAGCAGCTGTACCAATTTGCACTCCCACCAGCAATGGAGGAGTGTTCCCCTTACCCCATATCCTCTCCAGCATAAATTGTCAGTAGTTAGAAAATGAACTCTTAAGAGTTTAATAACTCCCCCACACAACTACTAAGTGGAGGTGCCAGATGAACTCCAGGTACCCCTGTAATCTGGTTCCCTGCTCTGAAGCGAGGTTTTGCTGAGTGTGTTGGTGTGTGAGTGTGCTGGCTAGCTGTTTACTGTCCACTTGACATAAGCCGGAGTCATCTGGGAAGAGGGAATCTCAGCTGAGGAAATGCCTTCATCTGATTGGCCTGCCAACAAATCTTTGGATTAATGATTGACGTGGGAGGACCCAGCTCACTGGGGGCTGGGCAGGTGGTCCTGGGTTATATAAAGAAACAAGCTGTGTGATCCATGGAGAGCAAGCCAGTAATCCACATTGTTTCCGCTCTTGCTTGAGTTCCTACATTGGTTTCCCTCAGTGACCAACTGTTATTTGGGCACATAAACCAAATAAACCCTCTCCTCCCCAAGTTACTTTTGATCATGGTGTTTATCACAGTATCAGAAACAAAGCAGAAGAATGAGCAAGACAGCTTTGAAGATAAAGGCACACTACAGGAAATAAGTAGATATGTTCACAGCACTTCTTTTAGACTAGCATTGGGTACATGTGGGTGCGTGCATGTATGCATGTGTGCGTGTATGTGTGTGTGTGTGTGTATGGGTGTGTATGTGTGTGTAAATTAAAGACTACCATCCATCCCACCCTTCTTCCTGGGTACATGACTGATGCACACCTTACATACTTCCTAATATCTTCGAGCATCAGTGTCCAGCGTGGCGAAACTGGGGTTTGCATATGTTCTCAGTGTCTCTGTGATTTCACAGAGCAGTGGTCTTGGAGCCCTCACCTTGGCCTGCTTGCTCCCTGGAAGGGAAAGAACATTCTTAGCTTTTAAGCTGGTGATTTTTCCTGGTGGTGTAGGTATTTGTTACAAGAGCTTAGTCTCCTTGTAGTGTGGTGTAGCAATGTATTTTTTTTAAATGCAGTAGAATTGCAAACCATAATACAGGCTTGCTATTGTTGGACTGGTATGAAGTTAACTGGATGTGGGACACAGTGTCTGCAAAGCCAGTTAAATGTTATTCTGGATGTTTATGTGAATCTTTTTTTTTCAACAAAATATTTTTATTGATTATTTTGGAATTTCACATCATGCACCCCAATCATATTTACTTTCCAATCCTCCCACCTTTATGAACTCCCTCTCCCTCAAAGAAAGAATCCTTACTGGAGCATGGTCAACTCCCAGTGGTCAGACCCTAAAGAAAACTGAGGTTTTTCCACCCGTACCCCTGCCAGAAGCCATCACTTGTGGAGAGCTACCCTTCAGCACCCTCACCACAAATCTGAAGAGTTCTCTTCGAAGGCTTCCTTTTTAGGCTGTTACTTTGGGGGAGGGAGGAGTAGTGGCTATCATAGAAGCCTTCTATGTCCCTCCTCCTCAACTGTGTGTCTGCAGTCACTGATGCCACCACAAGAAGTAGCTTCCTTGCCCTTCGCAGTCAGTGGTAACATCACATGGTCTCCAGAATCAGCACACACCAAGGACTTCTGTCTGGCCTTTGATGGCAACATGGACCACAGACATCAGCACCAGGCCATGGACACCATCATAGCCTTCAGC